TAGATCCAGCTCGCATGTACGGCTGGCGTAGATCCACCTCAACTTTCTTCTAGTTATAATGTACCCAATTCACTGTATTTCTTTCACTGGTCACACGATTGTTTCACTTTATTACCTTTCTTGGGTGACACTTGGCAACGCCGCCTTACAACACTAGCCTGCACCACAACGCTTATATTTTCCAGATCACTACAAAATTGTGGCTCTCCCCACACTTATGTGGCTCAGGCAATTAAAAAACATTCTAGATTGTTCACTACCCTGACACACTTAGCAACCCTTGCAGAACACTTACGTAGCCCTCAAAAACACTTAATATTCCCGGAGACACCGACACGTGACAAGCGCGCGTGTGTGTGTGTGTCCTCACCTAGTTGTACTCACCTAGTTGAGGTTGCAGGGGTCGAGTCCAAGCTCCTGGCCCCGCCTCTTCACTGGGTCCGCTACTAGGTGCACTCTCCCTGAACCACGAGCTTTATATATTCGTACCTCTGCTTAAGCTATGTATGGAATCCTACATCCACTACATCGCTTCCCCAAACTATTCTACTTCCTGAACTACCTCTGTGGCTGAAGAAATACTTCCCTAACATCCCTTTGGATTCATCTGTGTCTTCAACTTCCTAACTGTGTCCCCCTTGTTACTGTGTCCAGTCTCTGGAACCTGTCTTTGCCACCTTGTCCAATTCCTCATCAGTAATTTTGTAAGTCGTTATCATGTCCCCCCTATTCTCTTCCTGTCGCTCCATGCCGTCAGGTTTATTTCCCTTAACCTCTCCTCATAGGACATACCTCTTAGCTCTGGGACTAGTCTTGTTGCCACATTTGCACTTCTCTAGTTTCTTTACATGATGCATGGCTAGGTGTGGGTTCCAAACTGGTGCCGCATACTCCAATATGGGCCTAACATACACGTGTACAGGTCCTGAAACGATTCTTATTAAAGATGTCGGAATGCTGTTCTGAGGTTTGCCAGGCGCCCATATGCTGCAGCAGTTATTTGGTTGATGTGGCGCTTAGGAGATGTGTGCCTGTCTTATACTCACCCCAAGATCTTTTCCTTGAGTGTATTTGTAGTCCTCTGACCCCCCCAGACGTACTCCATCTGCGGTCTTCTTTTGCCTTCCCCAAGCCTCATGACTTTGCACTTGGGGGATTGATCTCCAGGACCATTGCTGGACCAGGTTCTGGCCACCTGTCCAGAATCTCTTTGTATTTCTGCCTGGTCTTCGATCGAATGAACTCTTCTTCATCACTTCACGTCATCTGCAAACAGTGACACCTCAGAGTCTATTCCACCGTCATGGTCGTTTCACAAATTACCAGAAACAGCACCTGGTCCTAGGACTGACCCCTGTGGACCCGCTGGTCACAGGTGCCCACTCAGGACACCTCGCCTCGTACCATTACTCGCTTGCTGTCTTCCTGACAAGTATTTTCCCTGATCCTTGCGTGGACTCCCTGGTATTTCTGCTTGGTCCTCCAGTTTTTTGCACGAACCTCTTGTGTGGTAACTGTGTCAAACGCCTTCTTGCAGTCTAAGAAAATGCAATCCACCAATCCACCACCCCTCTCTCTCCTGTCTTACGCTGTCACCATGTCATAGAACTCCAGTAGTTTGTGACACACAGGATTTCCCATCTCTGAAACCATGTTTGTCTGCTGGTGATTGAGATCATTCCTTTCTAGATGTTCCAACACCATTCTTCTCCTGACAATTCTTTTTTCTCATGATTTTTGCATGCTATACATGTCAGTGACACTGGTCTGTAGTTTAGTGCTTCATGTCTGTCTCCTTTTTTAAAGATTGTATCAGCAAATCTCCCTGTTTTTCGATAGATGCATTGAATATTGTTCTTAGGGTACACATAGCGCCTCTGCTCCCTCTCTCAGACCCATGGAGAGATGTTTATCTGGCCCATTGCCTTTGAGGTATCTAGCTCACTCAGAAGCCTCTTCACTTCTTCCTCGTGGGTGTGTACTGTGTCCACACCGGTGGTGTACCCCACCTCTCCGACGTTCTGGAGCCCTTCTGTCTCCTCTGTGAACAACTTCTTTGAATCTCTTTTTGAGTTCCTCACATACTCCACTGTCAATTTCTGTTGTCACCTCCCTCCTCTTCCATCCTTAGCCCTGATTACCTGGTCCTTGACGGTTGTTTTATTTCCTGATGTGGCTGTATAACAGCTTCGGGGTCAGATTTTGGCTTTTGCTGCAATGTCGTTTCATATTGACGATGGGCCCCTTCTTATCTTGCATATCCGTTTTCAGGCACTACGACTGTTCTCGCTTATTCTCCTGGGTCCTTTGCCTTCTATATTCTTCGCATTCCCTAAGCAAACTTGTTTTTTGCCTCCCGGCACCTTTGGGTAAACCATGGCTCATCCTGGCTTTTTTCATTAATCCTGTTACCCTTGGGTACAAACCTCTCCTCAGCCTCCCCTTGCATTTTTTTGCTACATATTCCATCATCTCATTAACTGGCTTCCCTGCCAGTTCTCGATCCACTGAACCCCGTTCAGGTAGTTCCTCATTTCCGGTGTAGTCCCCTTTCTTGTAGTTTGGCTGTGTTGTGTGTGTGTGTGTGTGTGTGTGTGCGTGTGTGTGTGAGTGTGTGGTGTGCATGTCAGTGTGTGTGTGTGCATGTTGTTTTGTGTTGCGTGGTGTTGTGTGTTGGTGTGTTGTGTGTGTGTGTGTGTGTGTGTGGTGTGTGTGTGGTGTTTGTGTGTGTGTGTGTGTGTGTGGTGTGTGTGTGTTCATGTCTGTGTGTGTGTGTGCATGTGTTGGTGTGTGCGTGTTTGTGTTGTGTGCGTGTGTGTGTTGTAGTGTTGTACTCACCTATTTTGTACCTCACCTATATGTGGTGCAGGGGTCGATCCTAGCTCCTTGCCCCCCTCTTCACCGGTTGCTACTAGAAAAACCTCTCACTCCCTCTCTCCCCCGCTTCCAATGAGCTTTATCAAACCTCGTCTTAAAACTGTGTATGGTTCCTGCCTCCACTACGTCATTTTCTAGGCTATTCCACTGCCTTACAACTCCTATGACTGAAGAAATACTTCCTACTATCTCTCTGCTCATTGTGTCCTTTCAACTTCCAATTTGCCTCATGTTCTGTTCCCCTCCCTGGAACACCTGTCCCTTGGTCCACCTTGTCTATTCCAACGCAGTATTTATATGTCGTTATCAAGTCCTCCCCCCTGATCCCTCCTTGTCCCTTCCAGTGTCGTCAGGCCGATTTCCCTTATCTTTCTTCATAGGACATTCCCCTTTTAGCTCTGGAACTAACCTTTTGCAAACCTTTGTACTTTCTCTATTTCTTGACGTGCTTTATCAAGTGTCGGTTTCCAAACAGGTGCTGCATACTCAGTTATGGGGCAAGACATACCCCGGTGTACAGTGTCTGAATGATTCCTTACTAAAAGGTGGTCGGAATTGCTGTTCTCAAGTTTGCCAGGCGCCCATAATGCTGCAAAGCAGTTATCTGATTGAATGTGGTGCTTCCGGAGACATGCTCGGTGTTATACGCTCACGCCCAAGATCTTTCTCCTTGAGTGAGTATGCAGTCTTTGGCCACCTAGCCTAACTCTGTCTGTGGTCTTCTGTGCCCTTCCCCTATCTTCATGCTTTGCATTTGGCAAGGATTAAATTCGAAGAAGCCATTTGCTGGACCAGGTGTCCAGTTCTGTCCAGGTGTCTTTAAGTCCTTCCTGGTCCTCATCATATTAATTCTCCTCATTAACTTCACATCATCTGCAAACAGGACACTTTCTGAGTCAACCCTTCCGTTCATGTCGTTCACATATACCAAAAATAGCACTGTCCTATGACCGACCCCTGTGGACCCGCTCGTCACAGGTGCCCCCTGTGATACATCATTACGTACCATGACTCGTTTTTGTCTCCCTGTCAGGTATTCTCTGATCCATTGCAGTGCCCGTTTCCTGTTATATGCGCCTGATGCTCTAAGCTCTGCAACTAATTCTCTGGTGAGGAACTGTGTCAATGGCCTTCCTTGCAGTCCAAGAAGAGCAATCAAAACCCACCCCTCCTCTCTTGTCTGTGTGTGTGTGTGTGTGTGTGTGGTGTGTGTGTGTGTGTGTGTGTGTGTGTGGTGTGTGTGTGTTGTTGTGCGTGTGTGGTGTTGTGTGTTGCGGTGTGTGTGTGTGTGTGTGTATGTGTGTGTGTGTGAGTGTGTGTGTGCGTGTGTGGTGTGTGTGTGCTGTGTGTGATGTGTTCGTGTGTTGTGTGTGTGTGTGGTGTGTTGTGTTTGTGTGTGTGCCTGTGGTGTGTGTGTGTGTGAGTGTGTGGTGTGTGTGGGTGTGTGTGTGTGCGTGGTGTGTGGGTGTGCGTGTGTATGTGTGTGTGTGTGTGTGTGTGTGCTGTTGTGTGTGTTTGTGGTGTGTGTGTGTGTGTGTGTGTGGTGTGTGTGTGTGTGGTGTGTGTGTGTGCGTGTGTGTGTGTTGTGTGTGTGTGTGTGTGTGTGTGTGTGTGTCTGTGTGTGTGTGTGTGTGTGTGTGTGGTGCGTGTGTGTGGAGTGGTGTGCGTGTGTGTGTGTGTGTGTTTGGTGTGTGTGTGGTGTGTGTGTGTGTTTGTGTGTGCGTGTGTGTGTGTGTGCGTGTGTGTGTGTGTTTGTGTGTGTGTGTGTGTGTGTGTGTGAGTGTGTGTGTGTGTGTGTGTGTGTGTGTGTGTGTGTGTGTGTGTGTGTTGTGCGTGTGTGTGTGTGTGTGGTTGTGTGTGTGTTTGTGTGTGTTGTGTGGTGGTGTGTGTGTGTGTGTTGTGTGTGTGTGTGTGCTGGAGGGATTTAGAGCGCAGAGGAGTGGTTACTAAGGTGACTGGAGCATTTAGAGAGGACAGAGCAGGACAGGATGCCCAGGAGTTGATATATCTGGGCTAAAATTGTACATGGGTAGAGCATCAAGGGGGGGGGGGGGGGGGGGGGGTGGGGTAGTGAGAGGAAACTAAGGGATTTGATGTACTGTGGGAGTAAACTTTATAGTACTTCGCAGGAGACAAGCAGTGTGTGGAGGCTGAGAAGACACACGGGAAAGATGAAGACACAAACATGGATTATGGTGGTTACCATGGTAGCAGCCATGATGGTAGCTCCCACAGCCACCCATCAGATGATGTGGGGGACGTGTTCCAGTAATTCCTATACACCCATGCCTGATTTTAACCCTGAGAAGGTACGATTCTCTGTCTCTCTGTCTCTCTCTCTCTCTTCCTCTCTCTCTCTCTCTCTGGTCCTCTCCTCATCTCGCTCATCGTCTCTCTCTCTCTCAACTCTCCTCTCTAAGCCTCTCTCTCTCTCTCCTCTCATCTCTCCTCTCTCCTCTCTCTCTCTCTCTCTCCTCATCTCCACTCTCTCTCTCTCTCTTCTCTCTCTCCTATTTTTTTTTTTTTTTTTTTTTTTACACAGGGTTTAACAAGGTTAAGGATCCCTAGCTTTAATTGACAGCTAATTACAGGTTAAGGATTCCTAATTTTATTGGCAAGCTAAGAGCTGTTACCTACATCAGCACATTGAAACATTTTTAATGTTATGAACATACAGTACGAGACAGGGTGAAGTTGGAGCCATCTGTGGGCCAGCATTTTCAGTTGATCACTGACTTTATCTCGTTGACATCATTATGCTGTAGAAGAGTTCATACTCAGTCACCTGGGTATGTATGATCTCAGATGGAGTGATGTTCAGGAGAGGGCAGCCAGAGTGAAGTTGCTGCTGGCTGCCCGTCTTGTGGCATAAAAGCTTGTTTCACGCTGTCCCTCGAAGTGGATCCAAGTGTGGTATTTTGACACTATTGGCCTTGTACATAACAGTAAAGGCTACCCCACAATGCCCTCCTAGTTGACGGGCTCCTGCTGAAAAGACAGATCTATCCAGGATGGGTCCAGGCGAGAGATGAGACGTCTTGCTCTTTTCTCTACTCTGTCAAGCAGTCGCAGATGAGAGGGGTGGAAGGGCAAACCAAGAAAGTGGAGCATACTCAAGGTGTGAGCGTACTTGTGCCTCGTACATGATCTTTGCAACCCCTACTGTCAAGGCATATGCGAGATAACGGGCGAAGTGCTGTAAAGCTCCCTGGCTGCCTTGTTTGCAAAGATTTACAACATGGTTCTTCATGTTTAGTTAGAGTCAAATTTCACCCCCAAGGATCTCAACTTCTTCTTCCAGGTGCCAACATCCTCCCATTCATCACTACTGCACCAGCATTAACCATCATGGTGCCAGAGACGAGATCATCATTTGCGTTTTCCTCAGGATGCAAATGGTACTTCCATCTATTTCCCCAGCTGATATAGGCTCCTCAGCAGGTGATTGATGTTAGCTTAGAGCAGCTGGCCATTTCTTCTCTGGATAATGATTGTCAGTGTACAGTCGTCTGTCATATGCTGTGATTCTGGATGAATGAAGAAGGTCGTTGCAGAACATCCATAACAGTAACGCCAGCACGCTTCTTGTGAACGCTTGCCCCAATAGTGCCTTGCTGATTCCGCTCCATTGAGGACTACACTTAGAGATCTACCATGAAGGTAATCACAGGAGACATAGCGTAGAGCCTGCAATTCCAGTGCTTGAAGTTTTGCTAAGAGAGGCCCTGGTGCCAACACCCGGTCGAAAGCGCCACAATGTCCAGTGCTACCACACAGCTGACTTTGATTCCTCCCGTGACTGTGCCACTTAGTGGAGAGGTATTAACAACAGATCACGCAAGTAACCTTTCCTGAAGCCATATTGTACGAATCAACAAAGTACGAGTGGTAGTCAAAAAAAATCTGGCATTTGTCTTGAGATTAAGTCTCAAGGATCTTACTAGGTGATTGACAGGAGTGTCACTGGTCTGTAGTTGCTGATTTCTGCTCTGCTCTTCTTTTGTTACAGGACTACATTTGCTGCTTTCCCATAGAGAGGGCCATTTACACTGTACTAGGCAGTGCTGAAAGATGCGACGTAGAGGTGCTGCCTAGCTGGTCTCAATCTTCTCAACAATCTTGGGCTCAACTTGTCTGGGCCCACAGCCTTTTCTTGTCAAGTGATTTAAGAAAGAAATGCACCACCTCCGCTGCCTTATTGTCACAACTGACAGTTTTGACACGTCGTGCAGCTAGCCAGGAGGGTCCCTTCTGGATCAGGACTTGCATTTTGGTAGCAAAGTGGTTCAGCATAGAGTCCGCCTTCTCTTGACTACTAGTAGAGTGGCCCATCCTGGTCGATTTAGAGGTGAATAAGTTCATCAGGCAGATAACCTTGTCTGTCCTTGACCAGGGACCACCAGGTTTTGGAAGCCTACCCTACCTGATTGCTAACTTTCTTTTAGTGTCCACACCCATTTAGCAATGGGCCCACTTTTGAACAATCACCCATATGCCAACAGGCTTGCATGTTCAAGTTCTGTTATAGGAGGTAGGATTCTCTTATATACCTTCGCCATGTGCTTTTGTACTTAGCAGTAGCAAGCCTCTCTAAAACGAAAGCCAAACCAAGGCTGATCCTGAGGCTTTGTCACATATTGCCGGTGAGGAATGTGTTCTGTTGCAGATTAAGGATGTGTCCAGTGGCACGCTTTCACTTGGGTTGTCAAACATCCCCCTGGAGAAGAGCATTCCAGTCGGTGGTGGGACTCAAGAGAAAGGGCTGGCCATACCTCTTCCCATGCCAGGTTGTGCGTGTGGACTCCTCACCTCGTTCTGTTGGTATCTAAGGTGTCGTAAGAAAACAGCTTGTGGTCAGACGATCTCCAACAATAGCCGAGGGGTTGACAAGTGACTATGCCTTCTGCCAGATCCTCACTAACTGGGTCAAGGGAGGAGCCAGAGATATGAAGTAAGGGAAATCAACAAAGTTTCTCCATGTCAAACACTGGCAAAAGGTCATCAAAGTCCCTCTGTATAAGGTGCTGGTGAGGTCACCAACAATTATAATATGTGACAGTTGTGTTGTAGCAGAAGGGAGTCAATATTTTCCATTTGGAAGTGAAGGGGTCTGCATGTTGGCAACGGAGGTTCTGTAACATTGCCACATGCTAGTACAGAGGTCTTAGGTTATAACAGACTTGAAGAACATCATTTCAAGATGTGTAGGGGTGGCAACATCAATGTGCTGGGCAGAAAACGTTTAGGGAGTAGCACACAGCAACACACACCCCTTGCCCTTGCCTGTCTCTTCTCATTCCATGAGGTGTAGCCAGCAATTCTTTCAAAATTTTTCTGGAGTCCTGTCAACCAAAAATGTTTCAACAACAGCTATCATGTCGGGACGACGAGTGTTCCAAAGCTATGTGGTACTCTCTCTCTCATCTCTCTCACTCTCCCTATCTCCTTCCTCTCTCTCCTATCTTTCTCCTCATCTCTCTCACACGTCTCCTCTCTCCTCTCTCCTCTCTCCTCCCTCTCTCTCTCTCTCTCTCTCCGTCGTCACTCTCGCTCGTCTCCTCCTCTCATTCTCTCTCTCCTCTCTCTTCTCTCTCACTCTCTCTCATTCTCTCTCTGCTCTCTCTTCTCCCTCTCACATCTCTCTCTCTCTCTCTCCTCATCTCCTCCTCATCTCCCTCCTCTCTCTCTCTCGTCTTGCCAATTATCAACAGAAACTAAACTGGTCTTATATGTGAAAAAATTCTTAGCATTTAGAAAAATAAAAAAAATTCTCACAGCCCAGCTAACAACAGATGCCTTGTGCTTGACCCAACAGTTCAGTGGATCCTGGTACGTGTTGAAGAAGCTAGTGACGACCAGCAGGTGCCTGAGTACGACCTTTGAGCTGCAGAACGACACCAGGACCTTCAAGGTCAAGGAGATACGAACCCCAGTTGTAGCAGACATGACACCTTACAAGGCAACGGTGACCAATGAAGGGATTCTGGAAATGAATCCAGAACAACCTGCTAAGATGAAGCTAGACTGGAGTGGTAGTAAGTTAGTTGTAGTTGTAGTTGTAGTTGTGGTTGTAGTTGTAGTTGTATGGCTGTAGATTTATGGGCCAGTAGTCCTACTGTAGTGGTCCTACTGTTTATAGAGACGTGCAAAAAGAATGGTTACATAGTGGTTTTGAGAGGTCTGTGAGCTAGAGACCAAAACGGTCTGTAGAGACGTTAGGTCTTAAGTAAGACCTGGGTCGGTAGTAGGTACGATAATCTTTGCTAAGACCTCAGATGTGGTCAAAGATCACGATCCAGACTGTTATGTTATAATCACAGAATATGTTTTGCTATCGAAGTGGCTAGTTCATTGTGCAGGTTATATCCACCGTGTGGACGCTAGCGCCAGAGTATATGGATACACAATAGGCCCAGGAACTAGGCCCCCAAAAGGGTTATCAGGAACATAACTGAATTTAATATCACAGTTCACTTATTCTGTAGCTCAAACCTAATTGTGGTTACAGGGGTCGAGACTCAGCTCCTGGTCCCTCCTCTTCACTGACCGCAACTGGGTCGCCATCCTCTCCCCTGCTCCATGAGCTTTATCATACCTCGTCTTAAAACTATGTATAGTTCCTGCCTCCACTACTCGCTTCCAGACTATCCCCACTCTAACAACTTTGTGGCTGAAGAAATACTTCCTAACATCCCTGGGACTCATCTGAGTCTTCAGCTTCCAATTGTGACTCTTGTTTTCTTTGTCCCATCTTCTGGAACATCCTGTCTCTGTCCACCTTCTCTATTCCACCAGTATTTTGTATGTCGTTATCATTCTCCCCAGACCCTCCTGGCCTCCAGTGTCGTCAGCCGATTTCCCTCAACCTTTGCTTTATAGGACCATTCCCTTTAACTCTGGAATATCTAGCCTTGTTGCAAACCTTTGCACTTTTCTCTAATTTCCTTGACGTGTTTGACCCCAGGTTGTTTGGGTTCCAACTGGTGCATGCATACTCCAGTAGGCCCTGACGTACACAGTGATAAAGTCTTTGAACATTCCTTACTGAGGTACCGGAACGCTATTCTCAGTTTTGCCAGGCGCCCATATGCCGCAAATTTAGGGGATTTGCTTAATATATCTGATATCTTATTTTCATTAACAAGATATCTTGGCACGTGACATATCTATACCTCTATATTCTTCAATAAGTGGACAATTAAGCACATAGTGTTCAAGATAGTGACCATGAGCTGGCTACATACTTCGTACTTGATGTGGAGATTATCAATCTGTGTGTCTGTCAGACTGCCAGAAATACTTGTAACCAAGTCTAAGTCTGGCTACTACAACGAGATCAAAACGGAACTTAATGAACTATTAACTAGCATTTTAATATATATCTTCAAACAGGTGTAGTGTCTGATATGTGGAAGATGACTGATGTAATTCCTATTTTTAAATCAGGAGACAAGACATTACCATCAAATTACCGCCCAATAAGCCTAACCTCAATCGTAGACAAATTACTAGAGTCAATTATACCTGATATTATAAGAAGCCATCTTGAAAAGCATAATTTGGTTAATGATACTCAGTATGGATTTACGAGGGGCCGATCATGCCTAACTAATTTACTTTCTTCAGCACAGCATCTGAAGCAGTTGACCACTATAAAGAATTCGATATTATTTATTTAGATTTTAGTAAAGTTTTTGATGGAGTATCACACAAAAAACTGTTGAAGAGAAAGTGGCAGCTCGATGTATGGGGGAAAAGTGTTGTCATGGATCGAGTTAAAGACCACAGACAGGAAGCAGAAAGTGTTCATATATGGAGTGAAGTCTGAGTGGGGATCTGTAACAAGTGGCGTTCCACAGGGATCAGTTTGAGGCCCATCGTTGTTTATAATGTACATTAATAACCTTGACGAGAGAATAACTAGTGACATGGACAAATATGCGGATAACACGAAGATAAGCAGGATAATTGATTCAAAGAAAGATATCAGGGAACTTCAGAGGGATTTAGACAAACTCATGTCGTGGTCAGGAAAGTGGCAGATGTAGTTCAGTGCAGACAAATGTAAAGTCCTGAAGCTCAGGAATCTTCGTAACCCTAGCACTTATAAACTAAATAATGTAGAACCTGATCATAGAGAATGCAAAAAGACTTAGGAATTATTGTAACCAGGAACCTGAAATCATGACAGCAATACCTAAGCATACGTAAAACGGCAAACTGACTACTGGAATTTATCAAGAAATATACATTAAGTAACAGGAGTCCAGAGGTTATACTACAGCTCTACACATCATTAATAAGGCCTAATTTAGATTATCAACATCGGTTCTGGCCTCCACATTACAGAATGGATAAATTCCTTACAGAACATTCGAAAAAGAATGAAAAACTTATTCCACTGCATAAGGAATCCTCCTTACGATGAGAGAAATTGGAACCCCTTAAATTATATTAACTTGCTAGACGAAGAATGATATAAACCATGGTAATATATACCGATAAATTGGTTTAGCAAGACTGGTACACAAACACTAGGGCGTGTTTATTACTAAATTTTAGGTCCTGGGACCTTGATCACTTCTGACATACAGACGTTAACAAGATAGTGTATGTAGGTGGAGAGTGAGGTGTGAGTGACACATGGTGACCTGAGTGAGGTGTGAGTGACACATGGTGACCTGATGAGGTGTGAGTGACACATAGGTGACCTGAGTGAGGTGTTCACTCACATCTCACTCAGGTCACCATGTGACACTCACACCTCACTCAGGTCACCATGTGTCACTCACACCTCACTCAGGTCACCATGTGACACTCACACCTCACTCAGGTCACCATGTGACACTCACACCTTACACTTGCCACCTATATATACCGTCTTGTTAACTTCTGTATGTTAGAAGTGATCAAGGTCCCAGGACCGAAACGTTTCCTGTTAATACGCCCTAGTGTTTATTTACATATGTTGCTACACCAAGACGTAGAATGAGGGGGAGATATTACTGAATTGTATAAGCCACCAGGCCCGTGGCCTGGTGGCTAAAGTTCTCGCTTCACACGGCGAGTGTCCGGGTTCGATTCCCGGCTAGGGTAGAAACACTGGGTGTTTCCTTACACCGGGTGTCTATGTTCCCCATCAGTAAAATGGGTACCTGGGTGTTAGGGACTGTGTGGGTCACATCCTGGGTGTTAGTGGACTGGTGTGGGTCACATCCTGGGTGTTAGTGGACTGGTGTGGTCACATCCTGGTGTTATGGACTGGTGTGGGCACATTCTGGTGTTAGTGGACTGGTGTGGGTCACATCCTGGGTGTTAGTGGACTGGTGTGGGTCACATCCTGGGTGTTAGTGGACTGGTGTGGGTCACATCCTGGGGGTTAGTGACTGGTGTGGGTCCATCCTGGGTGTTAGTGGACTGGTGTTGGGGCACATCCTGGGTTTAGGGGACTGGTGTGGGTCACATCCTGGGGGTTAGTGGACTGGGGGGGGTCACATCCTAGGCTTAGTGGGCTGGTGTGGGCACAACCGGTGTTATGGACTGTTTTGGGTCACATCCTGGTGTTAGTGACGGTGTGGGTCACATCCAAGGTTTATGGACTGGGGTGGGACACATCCTAGGGGTTATGGACTGGGGTTTATTTACATCCTGGGCGTTAGTGGGCTGGGGCGGGTCACATCCTGGTGTTAGTGGACTGGTGGTGGGTCACATACTGGTGTTAGTGGACTGGTGTGGGTCACATCCTGGGAGTTAGTGCGCTGATGTGGGTCACATCCTGGGTGTTAGTGGACTGGTGTGGGTCACATCCTAGCGTTAGGGACTGGTGTGGGTCACATCCTGGGTGTTAGTAGACTGGTGTGGGTCACATCCTGGGTGTTTTGTGGACTGGTGTGGGTCCCCATCCTGGGTGTTAGTGGACTGGTGTGGGTCACATCCTGGGGGTTAGTGGACTGGTGTGGGTCACATTTCCCGGGTGTTAGGGGACTGGTGTGGGTCACATCCGGGTGTTAGTGGACTGGGGGGGGTCACATCCTAGGGGTTAGTGACTGGGGTGGTCACATCCTAGCTTTTGTGGACTGGTGTGGGTCAAATCCTGGGTGTTAGTGGACTGGTGTGTGTCACATCCTGGTGTTAGTGGACTGGTGGGGTCACATCCTAGGTGTTAATGGACTGGGGTGGGTCACATCCTAGGTTAAATGGACTGGGGGGGTCACATCCTGGTGTTAGTGACTGGGGTGGGTCACATCCTGGTGTTTTGGGGACTGGTGTGGGTCACATCCTGGGTGTTAGTGGACTGGGCTGGGTCACATCCTAGGTGTTAGTGGACTGGGGTGGGTCACATCCTAGGCGTTAGTGGACTGGTGTGGGTCACATCCTGGGTGTTTTGCACTGGGGTGGGGCCAC